ACATAAAGGGACACAATATCAACTCAACATAAGGGGACACAATATCAATCCAACACATGGAGGACACAATATCAACTCAACATAAGGGGACACAATATCAATTCAACATAAAGGGATACAACATCAATTTAACATAAAGGGACACAATATCAATCCAACACATGGGGGACACAATAACAATCCAACACATGGATGACACAATATCAACCCAACACATGGGGGACACACTATCAACTCAACATAAGGGGGACACAATATCAACTCAACATAAGGGGACACAATATCAACTCAACATAATTCGGGGACACAATATCAATCCAACACATGGGGGACACAATATCAACTCAACATAAGGGGACACAATATCAATTCGACATAAAGGGATACAACATCAATTCGACATAAGGGGACACAATATCAATCCAACACATGAGGGACACAATATCAATTTGACATAAGGGGACACAATATCAACTCATCACATGGGGGACACAATTACAATTCAACAAAGGGGGCACAAGTACAATTCAACAATCGTATAGATTTAAGGATTTTTTTATCTTTTTGTTCACTGAAACCTTCCTTTATCAACCCCTAATTTTGATTATGTAAATTATAGTAGATTTTATCATCTCAAAAAACATGTGTCTGGTGGGTTTTTTCACAGTCACATATTTTACCAAATGATTCAGAACTATTTGATGCTGGTGAACATAGTTTTCACAGTAAAGTGAAATTTAACTAACACTTATCCAAACTTGACAGCACATTTATGGCATTGAGAGGCATTTACAGGGATAAATTTAGAGCATAAAAACAACTCCCCCTACAAAACATGTTTATAGCTTATGGTGAGAAGGTGCTGACCTTACTCCCAAATGAAATTATTTTTTTTAACTTAATAGGTTCAAATGAAATTATTTTGTTATTTTTTCCCTTGGCCTTTCTATACAATAATATCAACATTTGATCCAGATAGAGATAACAATCTTTCTTGAGACCGAGTGTCTGTGCAACAAAAATAATCACAGTCACCCTATATTTGCAGCTGTCGGGTGTGGATTAAGTTCAAGGCTACCAGTGTCAATCAATGCTCTGTACATGTTTGGTAGAATTCTGATTGGCAAAATATCCAATAACTGTAGATGGAACTGTTAGAGAACAAAATTAAGTAAAGCTGTCTTTTTTCCCATATTCTCGAAGATTATTCTATTGGAGAAACTTTTTCACTTCAGAATATTTAATTGTATCAATTTTATAGTACAATCGGAATTGGGCTACAGGCATAGCTCTATAGAAGCCCTCTCCTTAAAGAAATGAGAAATGATTGACCAAGTAGAGCAATTGGTTAGAGTGAGTTAAACAATCTGGGGTCCCGGGTCCAAATCATGATCTGGCCTCACTGAATTTACATTTTGTTCATTTAATCTGCATAATTATTATTTATAAAAGTTCTGCAAAGTATGGTTTTCTTTTCTAGAATAATTTATCAAAGCCATATATAGTCATGCTAGAAAATAAATGTTTCCAATGCTTAGTAATTTACAGTTTTTGGCATTGGTACAGGGATCTTTGTCTAAAATGTTCCCCGTTGAAAAGCTCAAGTTCAAAAGACAAAAAGGTTTTCCACCCCCCTGGGAAATTATGTGTTCTTCAACAATAACATTGAATGGACAATAAGGTATCCAACAAAACAAAGACCAGTGATTTTTAGGCTGAATTTGGAGCCTCTTCACTAGAAAATTTCTGCTTGATTTTCCCACTTTATTTTGCTCAAACTTATGCATATTTTCCCAAAGTCTCAAACTTATGCATATTTTCCTAAAGTCTCAAGGCACAGACCCCTGTGGAAAAGAGCTGGGTAGAAAAATCAATGAAGACAACATGGGAGTGTCTATATGTCAGCTCTGACACTGTCATTTCAATTTCTATGCAGGAATTAAATACAAATGTTAAGAATATAATTTTAGTGTACAAATCTAAATTTATGAAACGATCTGAAACAGTTATTTCCTACACCAGTAATTTAACCCTCAAAAAAAACACTGTTATTTTTTTATCATTACCACTTGTGACTAGAGTTTTCCGACAACAGAAGTCAATATGATTTAGCTCCATCCCCGGTGACCTGCTGTTTTCTAAATGACAGATGAGGCTGGGAAAAGGTACAGTGCTAACAGCTGGCCAACACATGTACTAAGTACAACTCGCACTCTTGTTTGTGTCATTGCACAGGGATACCGTATGCATCCTAAATAATCACCTATAACCTCCAAACTTCTGTCGCTGCATCATATACTGTATATTTCTTCTTCATCAGTTTACAAGTGCAAAGATTCCTAAATCTGTTGCTGGCAATTGACCTAGTCCAGTTTCACTATATATTTATTATTTGTTCATTGAATTATGTATAGCTATAGGTTCACTAAGGAAGATTTCCACATTTTTAAAAAGAAGAAATATTATATATATATTTTGATTACATTTTTTTTTAAATTTAACAACATTCTAAAAGTCCTTTAATTAATATAAATTACCAATTTTATTTTATTTCCAATATGACCCAAAGATATGTTTCCAAACTAAGTGTACCTTAGTTGACATTTCAATGTAAGTTTCCGAAAATAGGGACAGAACTTGTGCATATGAAAGCCTTATATACACTCTACAGCTGTACCATTTTAAAATTGAGCTTCCTCTTCTCCAATATGACTGAAGACTGACAACAATAAATACTAGCTGGTATATGAGACCTCAGTAATAATGTCCCTATAATAATTTCATTTCAGGTTTTATTGTGGAAATAAGCAAAAAGCAACATTTCACACAAGGAAAATCTCCCAAATACCATCTAATGTATTTACTCTAGGGTTTAATAATAACAAGAAATAGGACTTATGCTATCAAATATTGACTTTCCTTCTCAATTTCTTGTACCTCTTTCAAAACACTGTTCAGAATCTGAGAAAGTTGTCTCCCTTCCTGTACATATATCAATTCCATATGATTTTCCTTTTCTTTCTATGAAAAAAGGCCAAAAACTCTTAATAAAAGACAAATATTTACCTTGGTATATCAAATTTACCTCATACTATTTGTACAGTAAAAAAGAAGAAAATTGTAAATTCTAAAAATAAAATTGTAATTCGTGTATTTATGCCTGTACAGTTTTAAGTGCATATCCTACTTTTGTCCTAGGCCATATATACTACTACCATCCTGGACCATATCCTTCTATTATCTTAAATCATATCCTGCTATCATCTTTGACTTTATGCTACTACCATCCCGGACCATATCCTGCTATCATCCTCAATCATATCCTGTTATCATCCTTGACTTTATGCTACTATCATCCCGGACCATATCCTGCTATCATCCTCAATTATATCCTGCTATCATCCTGAATCATATCCTGTTATCATCCTTGACTATATACTACTACCATCCCGGACCATATCCTGCTATCATCCTCAATCATATCCTGTTATCATCCTTGACTTTATAATACTGTCATCCCGGACCATATCCTGTTATTATCCTCAGTCATACCCTGTTATCATCCTTGACTTTATGCTACTACCATCGCGGACCATATCCTGCTATCATCCTCAATCATATCCTGTTATCATCCTTGACTTTATGCTACTACCATCCCGGACCATATCCTGTTATTATCCTCAATCATATCCTGCTTTTATCCTAAATCATATTCTGCTATCATCCTTGAATGTATATTATAATGTACTAGCATCCTGGACCATATCCTCCTATTATCCTAAATCATATCCTGCTTTCATCCAGGATTACTAAGAACTACTTTTCCAGATTAGAAAAACAAAATTGTCACCACCAAAGTATTATTTCATTCCTGAGCACATTGTAAAAAGTATTGTACTTCAGTATTGTTAGCTTCAATTGAACCCACTCAACTATTTCAATTTAAAATAGTAAGTCATTAAAATGAATATTGTATCTTTAGTTAAAACCATTTATCAAATGATATTACCTTACTACCCATGTTTGTTTATAAAGCATTGTCAGCTTTACATGATAATCTTATTAGATATCACATCTGTTTACAAAGCATTGTTAGCTTTATGTTCAAATTAATTCCCCTTTTCTTCTTTTGTGTTAAAATTAAAGTTTAATTCAGACAATGTCACTTTATTTGAGGATTTGTGAGTTTGCCTTTATATTGCTATGACTTTTTATGCAATTTATTTGTGTAAAACAACTGTGTAAAACATGTCAAAAATGTGGCTACTTTGTCTTAATCATTGGTCTTTATTTTGAAGTTTTTATTTTATTAATATTTGGGAAGTTACATATATATGTGCATGTAACAGAAACAAAAATACATTAATAATAAAATAAAGTAAGTGATCTATCTTGATAGTTTACATTTCTATATTAATTTGCATTTTATAAGGGGAAAAAATACAGTAAATAATCATATCACTCTTACGTAGAAATAGCATAGACGTTTAACAGCAATTAATCCCCGGTTAAAGCTGATGTGTAGATCTCTAATCGGAGTATAACTAGGTTTTATATCAAAGAAAACAAAGAGAGACATTTATATTAAAGTAGCTTCAGGCTTGGGGTGAATAATGTGTATTTAAAGACAACCCCGAATTACTGTGCATACAAACTGACGTAGTCGGTTCTGGTATTTTTCCATGCGGCATGTGTGAACTTCAACAACACGGGAGAAACACGACATAGGCTAATCCAAAACATACCACTTGTTGATAAAAAAAATATATATAAACTCATGGGAAAATAAAACGTTGAATTACGTATAACTTATTCACATTTTTAAAACATGTCCTTAAAATCAACTAAAACGTCAATAAAAGTCAGTTTCTCCATGCGTAATCAATGTTTACATAAAAACTAATACATTGTACTACAAATTGTTACGTAGTAAGTCGCATGTTTTGTGAATGATTTCGCCCCCTGGACATTGTCAATATTTACTTTCGACGTCTACTTACACTACTGTTTCTCCCTGACCAGGACACAACAGCTTGAGAATGGGTTTCATCGGGAATGTAAAAAGTTGACGAAATTAGTGTATTGGAGTTGCCGTCACTCGAAGTCCCGTTAGGTGTTCCACTCCGCCGATGTCTACTCGCACTGTTGATGTTTCGTTTAAATCTATCAAGATTCAACTTAGATATCGGTTTCCAGTCCAAAACTGAAAAGTATTCATCTTTATCTTGTAATTTGTGTGAACTTATCTTCGCAAGTGCGATATTATTGACACATTCTCCTAAAACAAGGAGCAATGCGACCAGCACGAGTGTGTTTTGGTCGTCCATATCTGGAGTAGTACTCGTTTCGCGGTAAAGCCCGAGAGTCGTCATGATTGGTTACATTTAATATGCAAAACTCGGGATTCACGTCATGTGATCGAAGTTGCATCATACGTCTTCATTCATAACTTCAGACCCTTCCAAGTGTGTATTGATGCACTTTGCTAATGACATTGGCTCAACCTAAATTTCTTTATTAAGGCTTTTCTATAGAAAATGACGTATTTTTCTTTATCTCAGGGGTAAGTATGATTTAATTTCTCAATTAAATGGATTTAAATCCATTTAAGTTACCCCCTTTTTGGCCTCTTATACTGCTAGGTCAGTGGGCCGAACTGCCAGCCAAAATATTTCGTCATCATTGTATACAAATATTAAGACATTGAATTATAAGAAAACGTCAAGGACGTCAGTGCGTTTTTACCTATAGTGTCACACGTGCAGGATGAACTTTAATATATAATGCGACATATGCAAAGCAGGTCATATTTGACATTTATTGATATATGGGAATTTTTTTTACATTTTAATGAAATTATTCTTATATGTATTACATATGTCTGTTAAAATTTACTACAATATATTTGTATCTTCAATTTATCTCGATCGATTTAAAAAAAAGTATCTCATTTGATCCATTTTGCATTTTAATTATGTACCCATATATATAAATAGAGGTATAGACCTAATCAGTTAATCACTTTTCAACAATTATACCAGATGAAATAAGGATAAGTAAGCATTTTTAAATTTAAAATACATATTTTAAAATTATTCTTCAGATAATGGGAAGTAATTAATTGAACTATGCATATACCATGGAATCAATTTGTGTTTAATACTTGTGCGTCAATTTTAAACGTACTATAGTTTCACATATTTTACTACTTTACTACAATTTTGCATTCTAGGGAATCTTAAATTCCCCCCTCTGTTGCCTCCGATTAAGGAGAATCGGCATTCGCAGAGATAATGGTTGATAAACAATCAAGTTAGCAGGTGCGCCAAGGTCAGACGGCAGACGATAAGGGAGGCAATCGTCTACAGATAGTCTTTGTATTATCTATCGGCTATGGAAAACAGATCACTGCCATTTTCACGCGCTAGACTACCGTTGGCATGTAGATTACACGTGCATGGTGTATATGTTTACAAAAATAACATGTAAACAATACCGAATCGGAGACGAGCGAATGGCCAGTCAGGTGCATTTGGTATTTGGTATTTGACTAGCAGAGACAAATGGATAGAAATATAGAAATATATTCTAAATGATTGACATATACAACACTGTAATAGATGTAGAATGGCGATGAGTGGGTGGCTGGAATGATGAATGGCGCGGGTTACATATAAATATAGCTCACGTACGTCAGAGCTGAGCAACAATCAGTAATGACAAAAATATGTTATACGTGTTTTATTTGAATCGAAACGCATACATCTTTTTTACTTTCCATTCTTTAAACGAATGATTAATTTCTGAAACTATGCATGTAGGGTATTTAAACTAATCCCATCCTGAAACCTGCAAAGTCATACAAAAATATTATGTATTTCGTTATGCAAATGTACTAGTACATATGCGTTCTGCTTCCTGAACTTTTTGGAATGTCAAAAACTAGGCAGACGTCCAACATATTGAGACGACATGTTGCCATACATTTACGTCACAATATACAACCAGGGATGTGTAGTGGACCCACTACGCATTCCTGATACAACGAGGGGGATTTTCTTACGTCTTTTGTGCTATTTTGGCGTCATAGATATATGTATAGAGGTCGCACACTGCTCACAATCAACTGGAATTTCATGGATGATCGAAGTTTCAATTAGAAATAGTTAAATTTACATTACATAACCACGATTAACAATTAATTTCTTCATATAAGACAAATATATATATAATGTTCGTGCTTGAGAAACAGAAATCCGACGATATAGAGACTGAACGGCATTTTGTCAGTGTTCATGGCAGTATGAACTCAAGTTGGTTTGGGGGAAAACGCCGTTCAGTACATACAGTATATATTTCCTTTCAAATTTTATATTTATTATTTATCTAAATATCATTATCTTATCGTTTTCGATATTGAAGTGTCTGATTCTTTAGTGCAAACGAGATGTCTGGAATAGCCAAACGTCACCAAAATGTTTACTTCTAAAGGTTGTGTCAGGTTAGGGCGAGAGGAGAAACTTCAAAATGACGCTGATGATCAAATTGCGTTCATAGCCCTATGAACATAATTTCTTCTGGTAAGTCATATACGGAGGAATTTGCAGTGAAAATGATTTTATGAAATGTATACGTCACTAACATGGCAAAATCTAAATTTGATTACCTATACCAAGGAATTAGATTAGATTGCTATCTGAGTCCGTGCTTATGCCTCATATACACGCAACTATTATTAGAGGTTTAACCCTTTATTAAAAATAGTAATCTATTATTACAAAAAATGCGCTACGATCCGACGATGGAAGTAACCCTGCTATAGCTGTATCCACAAGTCTAGTTTTGATCCACTGTCCGTTCACAAAACTTTTGATTACAGTCCCAGTAGCGTGGACTATATATGTGCAATACTCTCGGCAACTACAAACAAGTCTGGTACTTCTAGCCTAACGGTACTGTTATTACGTGTTGAAGTGCGAGAGGCGACAAATGAGGTACTAGTATAATACACAGGTAAATAGCAGGCGCCAGGTGGGAACAAAACCCAGATAAAGCTTAAGATACAAGTTTTAATCCTTGTATATATAGGAGTTTTAACGCTGTCCGGGGTCAATAGGGCACTGGGTATGTATGGACGTGGGTGTTTCTGGTTTTTAGACAACTTGAAGGATTGGTACCAGGACACGAAAAGACACAAGGCTCAAGTAAAGCAGTATACAGATATTTTGACCGCACTATGTCTGGGATATTAGGTCGCTAAGGAGAACGGAATCGGGGAACAATGAATTTAAATGGACTAATACTGTATGGCGGCTTTGTGGAGTCGCGAAACATTCTGCATGCGCTAAAAAGGCAAGGGTGTGGGGGTTGGGGGGTTGGGNCCATCACTGTATAGTTTAATAGATCTTGATGGAAGTGTTATAAATTTGTTTCTAACTATATAGACTTATTTGCATGTAGAAACGACATTTTCAAACTCAGAAAAGAAAGATTTAGTGGCGCGAAAATTAAAATGGACTTTGTTAAGATATAAAAAGTATATTTAAATGTAATGAAACTAAAGACGTTTTCTGATTACCAAGTACACTGATACCTATACCAATTCCTTTGATCACAGTATTGCTTTTTATAAACGAGGGATTACAGCTATGGCCGAAACATGATAACGACATAACGTTATCGGAATAACTCTCATTTTGATCTTGATGGAATACTAATGCCAACAATTATATGTTTCATTATTTTAAATGACTATTTGACAAAGACAGAAAGTATACTAGTGTGATGAGCTAGTAGTACAAAAAGTAATAAGACTTTGATGAAAAAAATGTCGCACAGTGTGACGGTTTATAAACACTTTGGTAAACAATGTGATTTCTATACAGAACCTGATTTGTAATATAAGGACGCGAACAATGTACAGAAGCAGGATGTACACTCGGAAGCTAACAATCTCTCTCCGGTTTACGAGCGGTCACGAGCTGTGTATTTATTGGCTAACAGTCCTGTTTACGTGTACCTGTAATATCATCTATACCTGCAACGTCACGGCCCCGGAAACTGTCTTTCAACAGATGGCCGAGGCTATTTTCGTTGTCTAATTCATTTGTGTAACATGTATCAAAAACCTAATGTGTGTTGCATCGTGATGGGTATCGTATCCTGAGATGTATTGTCATTTTATCGTGAGATGCACCATATAGTGATGTGTATCATGTCATGATGTATTTCGTATCTTGACGTTTATCTAATAGTGATGCGTGTTATATCGTGATGTGTATAGTATCTTGACGTTTATTGTATTTGACGTTTTTCCTCTCGTGATGTGTGTCATGACGTACATCGTATCGTGCGATGTACGTGTATATCACATATTGGTGTTTATCGTGTAGTGAAGTGTGTCGTATCGTGATGTGTGTCATGACGTACATCATATCGTGTGATGTATATCATATATTGGAGTGTATCGTGTAGTGAAGTATGCCGTATCCTGATGTACGAGTATCATTACGTCCACCATATCGTGTGATGTATATCATATATTTGTGTTTATCGTGTAGAGAAGTGTGTCGTATCGTGATGTGTGTCATGACGTACATCGTATCGTGTGATGTATCTCATATATTGGGGTGTATCGTGTAGTAAAGTGTGTCGTCTCGTGATGTGTATCGTGACGTACATCGTATGGTGTGATGTTTATCATATATTGGAGTGTATCGTGTAGTGAAGTATGCCGTATCCTGATGTACGAGTATCATTACGTACACCATATCGTGTGATGTATATCATGTATTGGTGTTTATCGTGTAGTGAAGTGTGTCGTATCCTGATGTGTGTCATGACGTACATCGTATGGTGCGATGTATATCATATATTGGTGTTTATCGTGTAGTGAAATATGTCGTATTCTGATGTGTGTCATGACGTACATCTTATCGTGTGATGTATCTCATATATTGGAGTGTATCGTGTAGTGAAGTGTGTCGTATCGTGATGTGTGTCATGACGTACATCGTATCGTGTGATGTATCTCATATATTGGAGTGTATCGTGTAGTAAAGTTGTCGTATCGTGATGTACGTGTATATCATATATTGGTGTTTATCGTGTAGTCAAGTGTGTCGTATCGTGATATACGTGTATCATTACTTACACCGTATCGTGTGATGTATATCATATATTGGAGTTTATCGTGTAGTGAAGTGTGTCGTATCGTGATATACGAGTATCATTACGTACACCGTATCGTGTGATGTATATCATATATTGGTGTTTATCGTGTAGTGAAGTGTGTCGTATCGTGATGTACGTGTATCGTTACGTACACCGTATCGTGTGATGTATA